CAAGCGCCCAGGGTAACATGGTGCTGACCCCACACAAGTGCTGGTGCGGCCCCCAGAGCTATTTCAGGGCCATGGTGGGGGAGAGGAAAAGGGAGCAGCAGAGGGGAGGCCACTCTTGGGAGGAGCTTTAGCCTTAAGGGAAAAAAGAGAGAGAGAGGCACTACTAGAAAAGAGAGAAGTCCAGTGAGTCATCTGTGAGTGGGCAGTGAGAGCAGGCTTGTGTGCTGTGGAAGTTTCTAGAAGGGAGGAGTGGCCATAGGGGAAGAGATGATGGTGGGCATGGAGACCCGGGGAAGGAACAGTCGGCGAGAAGGAACCAGCCTCCCAGGGACCAGGGACAGTCCCTACCTTGCCACAGTGGCGGGCAAGGCCAGCTGATGGGGAGGGAGCTGAAGGGACCCTCATTCTCTGAAGGCACACCAGCAGCACCACTCCCCACCCATCTCCAGGATCCACCAGTTCCCCACACACAGCGCTGTACCTCTCCCTCCCCTGCCACCTCCGACTCCGGATTCATTTCTGAGCAGGCCCTGGACGCAGCTGCCAGGAGCCTTGGTGGGCAGAGATTTCCAGGCCCGCAGTACTGCAGGAACCGTGACACATGCATGATGAAGTCAGAAATACACATCTGCTTCAGACATTTATTTCCATTTAAATGACACTTTGAAAGATCCAGGAGCCAATTTGTACCACAAAGACAAGTTATCATCAAAGACTCTGGAAGTATCATCATGTCAATTCACAAGTCTCGATTTCTTAAACTTAAATGGTAGCCTTTAGTTAAAACAGACCTGAGAGAAGAAAAACTCCAAAGGATGCCTGCCCTATAATCCACCCGGGACTTCTCCTTCCCGACGAGACACCTCAGTGGACACTGCCCCACCCCACAAGACTCTGAAGTGTAGGGTCCCACTGCTTTGCTCCCACAATCCAAGGGGAACAAGAAGTACCCATCTTTTAAAAACATAAGCATGCCAACATTGTTCAACACATTTTTCTACACATATAAAATCAAAATAAATTTAAAAAAATATTTTTCCAGATACAAAATAAATATAGAAAACATCAATGTAAAAACAAAAGACTCTCTAGTTTAGACCACACCTTGCCAGACCTTCAGGAAGAGTGAATGATCACATCAGTGTACAACCCAGGACTCACCCAGTGAAGTGCATTATTTTCATAATTTAATTTTTATTAAAAATAAATATCATTGTTAACTGATAATAAGTACATATACCCATTTCCGAAATACGATGGCATAAGAGTTCAGCACAGCCCCCTAACATACAAGGAAATGACACTTCCAAATATCATCCAGTGACATGTAAATTTAATTTCACGTCTTTTAGAAAAAGCAAAATTCGACCACAAAGTCTCCTCCAGTAGCATTAAGTAATTTCGTCTTGGTAGATTTTACTGATGTCTTATTTGAGCAGGTGAAACAAGTCACCTATTTCCCATCTGATATTTTCTGGAGCAGAATTGAACTGAGAGTATCTCTGTGCCTTTGGCTTACCTCTTCAGGGACTAAAGGACAGGAGCCCTGAACCAACAGGCCTAACGCTGGCTTTGCTGGCGGAGGGTCTGAGCCTGGCTGGTCCACGCCACACTGGCCAACTCAACTCTGCAGTTCTTCGACCAGTGAATGGAGGTAGAAGAGATGATGCAAACAGCGTGACACAAAACATTACATTTCACTATGGAGTTCATTCTTCTGCTTGTATTGAAAAGTGATTGTGTCTGATAAGTAGGAAGATCGTTTTTTAAATTAATTAAACACTAATTTTTTTGTTTGTCAGTCTTCCGAGTGGCAGGTGCCAGGATGCACTCCAGCTCCCTCCTTTGGGCGTGGCTCTTTCTCCTGTGCGGAGCGTGGACAGGTTCCCTTCAGTTTCAAGGCCAATCTGAGAACAAAAGCTCCATTCCTAGCATCATATTTCAACAGCAGGAAAACAAACGGAAACTCATGCCTTGCCTCTGCATTCCCGGGGCCACACGCTGCAAATCCTTCTCTCTACATTCCCAACAGAGAATGCAAGCAGCTTTCATATCCCAGAGACACAGCTGAGAGCTTACTTCAGATATACCTCAGCCCATAATAAAGCTTCCTAGTGTTCACATAGAGATTTGGGGTCATGTAGAATGAAACAGACATAAAAACAAGTCCCAACAATAATGAATAAAAGAGGCTTCAGGAACTGGTGTTTGAAGGAACCTTACAGCTCACCCCCAGGCCACCATTCTTTCTTGTGATGAGAGCTGCCTTGTGGGTGCCTGAATACTACCTTTGGGAGATCCCCTTAGGATCCTATAGATAATTATCAAGTATCTACTCTCCAGGAGGCACCATGCCACAGACCCAAACAGAGGGAGGAGTGAGGCTGGAGGAACTTTAAAATCTGCCGGGAGAGACACAGCCATGGAAATTGCTATAATGTCCATCCTGATGTAACAAACGCTGAAAATGAATTCTTTATAAAAATGTTATGGGAAAGCAAATACTTGCTGCTACAGTTTGAATGTGTCCCCCACAGTGCATGTGTAAAAAGAAACTTAATCCCAGTGCAACAGTGTTGAGAGGTGGGACCTTTTAAGAGGTGACTGGTCAGGAGGGTTCTGCTGTCATGAATGATTTAATGTTATTATCAGGGGAGCGTCAGTCATTGCTAGAGTGATTTCATCAAAGCAAGTTTTGCTCTTTTGCCCTCCTGCCCACCATGACACAACACAAAGGCCCTCACAAGAGGCCAGTGCCATGCTCTTGGACTTCCTAGCCTCTAGAACCACGAGCCAGATTAATTTCTGTTGTCTGTAAATTGCCCAGTCTGTAGTATTCTGTTACAGCAACACAAAGCAAACTAAGACACTTCCAAATGGGGAACGTGGAGAAAATGTAAACACTGTCTCATCTATTTTTAAAATGAGGAGGGTGCATGGCAGCTGTTATATTAAATCAGGCTTGTTAATTATTTACTCTATCACAGAGCCATAGGCTCTTGGCATGGAGGGCCCAAAGCCTGGATTTTTTTCTTTGGGAACTATGTATCAAAGATTCTAAATAATATTGCCTCCCCAGTTCTTGCTTGTGAAAAATGCATCGATACTCAATAGGCTGGTTGATCTGTTTCACTTTATTTCACTCTAAGTGTTCCGCCTGAAAGCTGGAGTCACATCCTTCAGAGATGACTGGAACGTCTCTGAAGGATGTGACTGTGGACCACACCTGCAGCTGGCTTCCACCTTACTGAACAGGGGTGCGGGGCACATGGCTGTCACATAACAAATGTGTGACTGATGGTGCAAAGGTGAGAACAAGTGAGGCCCTCAACTCCACCCTGCCATCCCAACAGCTGAGGCAGTGGAGCTAGCTGCCTGCTGTTTTGCATACCAAGTAATTAAACTGACCCTCACTCTTTCACTGCCCTTCAGGGACATGTGTGGGGCAGTTGACATTGATCAGAACCAGCTTCCACTGAGCATGGTATCTCTAATTAGAACCTCGGATCTGTCTGTCTGTCTGTCTGTCTCTCTCTCTCTCTCTCTCTCTCTCTCTCTCTCTCTCTCACACACACACACACACACATACACACACTTGGATCTGTCTCCATCTACCTTATATACACACACACACAGGCACACACACAGATCTGTCTCTCTCACACACACACACACTTGGATCTGTCTCCATCTACCTTACACACACACACACACACACACACACACACTCTCAGATCTCTCTCTCTCTGTCACACACACACACACACACTTGGGTCTGTCTTTCTCCATCTACCTTACACACACACACACACACACACACACACACACACACAGCATGAATGTTGAGCCCCGGGCTTGTTTTGCAAGGGCTTTAGACAGGGAGATGGAGAAAGTGGGCTGGACTGAAGAGTTCATTTTCTGAAGCCAGACGTTTTTGGGGCTGCCACCTGGAACCTTGAATGACCTCAAGATAGGGTTGGCCAGGACAGGACAGGTCAGGGGACCCAACCTAAGGGGAGGTTCTTCCTCCTCACTCATGCTTTCACATCGTTTCTCACTCTCACATCCAGACAAGACAGCACCATGAAACCCTCGTTGGGCTGGAACCTGCCTTCTGCAACCAACTAGCTGGGAAGTCCTGGGCAAGCTGGTAGGTCTCTCTGGGTCTCGTCTGCATCCCACATAAAACAGGTGGCAGGACCAAATGAGCTCTAAGTTTCCTTCAAGTTCTAGAGTCATGAAATAATGTTTTCCTAAAGAAAAAGAACTATTTATTGTATAAAGAAATACACATCTGTAACCCCAACTATACACAGGCTGAGGCAGGAGGCTCGTTTGAGGCCAGAAGTTTAAGGCTGCAGCAAGATCAGGCCACTATCCTCCAGCCTGGGTGACAGGGTGAGACCCTGTCTCAGAAAAGGGGAGGGGAGGGGAGGGGGAGGATGAAAAACAATGGGGAAAACAATGGGTTTCAAAGAAAATCCTTTAAGAACAGCAGAAGCAGTAGGGAGGACCCACGCCTGTCCTCACTTGTCCCTGGAGCTGGGAGCCGTGGGCTGATGCGGTGAAGGCCAGACCCAGAGCCAGCCACACAGAGGTGGACCAGCCTCACCCACTAAGACCAGTGGCCACACAGACACAAGCCTAACAAGGAAGACCACGAAATCCAGACCCAACCCTACTGCCAAACAGACTTCTTCCCCCTTAAAGCACAGTCATCTTCAGAATGAGAGGCAGCCCATCCTTTGGAACCGAGGGCCATGGCTCTTGAATCTGGGCTTTGAAAGACAAGCTCAGTCCCTGATTTTTTCCACCTGAGAAGGAGGCTTTTCTGAACATGACCCAGTGTGTTCAGAGCAGCCAGGATGAGGAAACACATCTGCAAAGAAGCAGCTTAATCCAGACACAAGAAATGGTATGCAAAATAGGACGTCAGACCTACTTTTGCAGTGAATGTGGTCAAAACTACTTTGCAGCAAGTAACTTTTCCTGAGTTCAAGTAAGAGTTTAGTCCAACATTTATATGTGACACAGCCATGTGAGGCCTCTTCTCTGAGTACACAGTAATATCTGGTAAAGTAAAAAATAAAAAAATAAAACAATCATTTCTATAATGAGCAGCAAGATTGCTTTGCATGTCACGTGACTGTGGCTGAATGGGCAAAACCTCTTGCAAAGAAGTGCCTTAGTTTCACATAACCCTGCAGGACAGGCTCGCGTGAGCCTCTGGGCGGGAGGCAGCAGAGTAAACTGCAGGCGAAACAACAAACCGCAAAGTTCAGTTGTTCCTTGGCCAAATGAGAAACTCAGTGAAGATGAGCTTGGGTCAGGCCTGGGAAGCAGACACACAACGACCCCGCTTCACCAGGGCCCTCTTTGGGGCTTTGTGTCCGAAGGGTCCTTGAGAGCATCTTGACGTAAATCCAGCTGAATTCCCAGAAGGCTCCCAGAGTCCCGCATGAACCATGTCTGAGTCCAACTGCGCTTCCGTTTGAACTGAGAGCCCTACAGTGTTCCTGGGGCCACAGCTGGTCCCTATTGATTGAAATCAAGGGACAGCTGGGGTGAAGAAACCAGAGTGCAGCAGATGGCTCAGAAGAAACATCTCGCTCGCTAAGAAGGTCAGCAGTGTGGGCAGTCTGTACGGCAGGCCAGACTGCAGTGGTTTTGAGCCTAATTTATACATTTTCAGGAACGCTGTACTGCCCAGAGCTTGGCGTTTTCCTCAGTATGTGAGCTGCATCCACTGTGGGGACATTTCCTGGGATGAAATTTGGGTTGCGTTGAGTACTGAGTCCATAACACAGACTTGGTGCCCAGCTACATCCAGTGCCATGAATCAGGGAGCTGGGAGGGGTCTCGTCATCCCAGGCTTAGCTCTAAAAAGCACAAGGATTGGGAGCTGAGGTGCAGTGGACTCTGGACAGGGACAGAAGGATGCTGGCTTAGAGGTCTCATCATCACTGTCCCCTCCTGAGGGAGGCAGCATGTGGGAGTGGTCCAAGTCAGATTCTAACAGTGCTCGATTTTCATTCTTGCTCTTATGTTTGCTGGCTGTGAGCTTTGGGACAAGTTTCTGTACCTCTCAGCAGCTGTTTCCTTACCTGTAAAATTCGGATGGTAATACCCATCATGTCATAGGATACTGGCCCCTGAAATGCAGAAATGCAGGTCTGTGTCAGACAGTATGTAGAGTGTGTGCCCAAGAGACAGAGTCTATTATTGCCTGGGACACCAAGTGGGAACTACTCAGTGGCTTCACGAACACCAACATTCTGGCGTGGATTTCAGCACTAAAAAACAGCACCCTCTGTCCCGCTCCTTCTTCCAAAATCTTGCAAAAAGTATCCCCACAGGTTATCTGAAACTTGTCCAGATGTGTCTCTGGGCTCGCCTCAGACAGCCGGACAATCTTCCTCCCGGGAATTCTCTAGGGCCTGCCAGTGGTCCAGGAGATTCCCAGGCTTGATGAAGTGGCAGGCCACGATTCTCCGGAAGTGGCACACGGAGAAGCGCAAGCCCTCTGGGAAAAAGGTCTGCTGGGAGTGGAGCTCCTCCAGCCTGATGTTCAGCCTTTCCAGGCAGAGCCCCACGAACACGTCTTCCAGTTTAATGAATGGGACACTCTTGGAGACATTGTACACCTGACTCGCCACGTCGCCAGAAAACACGTAGCCCGTGCCGGAGCAGAATGGCGGGTACCTGTCCCACGGATATTCAGATTTACTGACAAACCACTTACTGAATGGCTTTCTGATGGGAAGCTCGCTGAGTTTCAAGTAGCCAGTGAAAAACCTGGTTGTTCTGTTTTTCTTCAGAAGCAGTTCGATCAGATAGTAGACATTGATGAACATGTCTGAGTCTGTTTTCATCACAAACGCCGCCTGAGGACAAAAGTGATGCACCCATTCCATGCCCATCATGGTCTTCAGGGTCAAGTTGTAATAGGCATCTGTGAAGTCCTTCTGGATAATGTCCCCATGCCGCTGGCTCTCCTGGTCCACCTCTTTCATTTCCACCACACTGCTGGTGGTCCCCAGGAGGAAGAATGTCTTCACCTGCCTTCCGTTCACCGTCCTCTCTTTCCCCCACGTCTGCCGGATGGCCATGCGCGCAGCTGACTGTCTGTGAGACGAGGTCACCAGCAGGACAAGGAAGGGGGGTGTCTGCCCGCAGTCTGTATCTGGGAGCTTAAGGAAGTTCCTGTACTCTTTCTTGTAAACAAAGGGATGCTCTTTGAAAGGATTCAGACTGTACATGCTAACATACAAACAAAGAGCCCCCAGAACCACAATGCAAATATACATCAATCTCATCTTCGGGCAAGCCATCTGAAAGGAACAAAATCCAATGAATAGACCTCTAAAGCACGAGGATGTGTCTAGTTTTATGCTAGGAAGCTGAGATGGGAGAGGAGACCCATGTTTTGGAAACTCTAGAACCTCGCTGAATACGGAAGTCCAGTGCTGTGGTTAAACAGTTAAGCATACAGGTATGACATCTGCTAGCATCTGTCACTTCATGGTGTAAGATAAAAAGCTCAGAGATTCTGGGCATTGGTCCTGGCTCTGCAGCCAGCAGCGGTTACTGCATGGGAGTCTCGGATTTCCTGTCTGTAAGGAGATGGGACCCGGCCCCTCACTGGGTCCTCCAGCTCTGCCCTTCTATGACTCCATGATGATGCGCAAATAGATAAGCTGCAAGTCTGGAAAGCACGCATTGTGCACTAAATGTACGGGCTGCCTGCACTCTTCCCTGATCTAATTAAGCGGCATTCCCTTCCCAAAAAGCAGCAAGTCTAGTGCTCTGATTTGCACAAGTACCTTCAAATTCCGTCTCTGCCAGAATTGTTATTTTTTTACGTGACTTTTACAGTCTCTGATCTGATTCTTTCCTCTTCTGCCCACCCGTCTCTGCTGTCCTCGGCAAGTTCAGGATCATCCACGGTAACGTTATGACATTAAGAAAGCGTATAACTCACTTTTTGCTGGGTAAGAGGAACCTCTGGTTTGCAAGTTAAAGCCACAGTGTAAACGCCAAGAGGAAATTTGTTTCAAAGAACTGTCAGCGTAGGATGGTCCACACTTATCAGGTTCTGGGCTTGGTTTGTTTACCAAAAATGACGATTCTCTCAGGAATCACTAGGAAAAAAAAAGAAGAAAAAGAGTATCATTCAAATCACTCGTGCCTTCCCAGCAGGCCTTCAGAGTTTACTGTGTCTATTGTGTCACCTTCCCACCTACTTATGTGACTTTGAGCATGCATTTGAGCCCCAATCCCAGCCTTACTTTTCTCATCTGTAAAATGGGTATGATCAAGGCAAAGTCCAAAACAGTACCAATATGCCAACCCCCAGAATCCTTCAGGCCTAATGATTTAGGATAGCACCTACTAGCTTTTTAAAGAAACATGGTAAACTCATAGATTAGAATCTAACTTCTCACCCTGATAATTTATCTTATTTACATAACAGAGTCTATCGTTAATGCTGAGAGAATTTAACACAGAGAATAAATCTAATTCTTAACTCAACAGCGACACCTTAGAAATGTTATCTGGGTGAGAGGACAGAAAGGACAGCAAGAAATGAAACTGGCAGAGTGAAAACAGGGTTGGTTTGGGTTTTATAATTTTACTTTTATTTCCGAGTCCAGATGTCATTCTGTCTTCTAGGCTGGAGCGCAGTAGCACAATCACAGCTCACTACAGCCTTGAACTCCTGCACTCAGTGACCCTCCTGCCTCGGCCTCCCAAGTAGCTGTGACCACCAGCACATGCCACCACACTCTTCTAATTTTGTATTTTTTGTAGAGATGGGGTCTCACTATGTTGCCCAGGCTGGTCTCAAACTCCTGGGCTCAAGCAGCCCCCTGCCTTGGCCTCCCAAACCACTGGGATTACAAGGCCAAGTCGCTGTGCCCAGCCAAGACCTGGTTATTTTGATGGCCAAAAGAGCACCTCAAAATTTCATTGTCAAAATTCTGTTCTAAATACGTTCACCAAAAGCAACATGGAAATAATAATGGAGCTTTCTAGAACCAGCTCACTCTCCGCCGGGGTGGCACAAGTAGGACACGGTGAGCTGCACATTTTTACTTTTTTTTTTTTTTAATACATGTTTTAATCTTATTTTAAAACGGTGAAAGTAGCTGACAATTTTTAAAACTTTTCTACTAAGCAAAATAAATTGTCAAGTCTATTTCCACACTCCCCCATCTAACTGATGTTTGATCAGCATCCTGTGGCCGCTCACCCAGAACCACGGGACAGGGCCCCTGGCTCAGCTGGGACACTTGCTGGTCACCAGCGAGCCGGGTGCTGGCATCTGCACGCAGGTGTGGGCAGGGCGCCTATGGCCTCCCTTGGCTAGAAGGGAATTTCAAGCATCCCCACCCAGGGAGGAATGCTTTCTTTCTCAGCCTTTCCCATCTGCTCATGGCAGCTCAACCAAGAACTGTGGACAAAAGTCTCACTCATCGTCCCCTTTCAAGCTCACAGATGCTGCTGCTGCAGCCACGGGACGCTCCATGAGGCACTGCCCTGGCCACACAGCCTCGGGAGCAGCCTGTGCCCACCTTTTGCAGATGACTGGTGAAGGCAGGAACCCGTTCCATTGGAAGGACTTTCATGTCACCTGCAGCTGTCACCTTCAAATAAGGTCACATTCTGAGACAGTGCAGGTTAGGACTTTCATAGGAATTTTTGAGAAGGGAGCCCTGACCCACAGTAGTGGTACTTGTGTCTTGGCTACCAAGATAAATCACTTGCATTTGTTTTATTCTGTCCCTTAGTTGAAGAACAGAGCCCTGCACCTTCATCCCAGGCTTTTCCACTGCCTCAGGAAGCCTCTTCCAACCACCTCCCCTGGGGCAGGAGGGTCCAGGTGCTAAGGGGTTCCATGATGAAGAAGACAAGTCTTTGCGGGGTTCAGGGTTCACAGCATGAGCCAAGCAGTAACTGGGGCCCGACACAGCAGGGTGGTGCGTGAGGTCTGACGGAGACTCCAGGCGGGTGGCTCTGGATCCTCATCCCAACCAGGCCTCCACCTTTGTATCTCCATGTGTGCCTCTGCACTGCCCAGTTTTAGCAGGAAGCCTGCAAAGTTGGTTTGGCCAGGATCCCCCACCATCACTATCTGATCGGTTCCTCATCCTCTACCCTCGGTGTCTGGCCACCCTGGTCTGGCTCCTACAAGGTGGGTTTAGCCAGAATCCCCCTCGCCCCTGGGATCTCCTCTTAGAAACTTTCCACCTGCTGAGCCTGCCGCCTGCTTCTGGGCTGCACATCCCCACTTGTCCATGCTGTATTCAGAATTCAGCCCAGCTCTATACTGAGGTCTCTTTCCCCTACTGCAATAGGTCCTGAATAGAATCTGTCTTCACCCTCTACCTCCTGTCCAGCTGTGGCTTTTCTTTAATGGGTCAGGGGAAAGAACAGAGGTCCCATCTGTGAATATTCAGGGAGACCTGTTCCAGGGAGGCCGGCAGGCAGAGGCAGGGAATCCAGAAGGGCCCTGTGGGTTCCAGAAACAGCATGGTGTGCAGAGGGAAAGCTGGGAAAGGAGGCTGGAGACAGGCAGGGCAGCTCAGAGCAGCCTAGAAGAGCATGTGAGCAGTATGGACTCCGGCAAAGGACATCAAGGGGTCCACGGTCCTTGTCAGTGTTTTGTGGCTCAGGAGTCTGGAGTCCAACACGGCCTCTCTGTCCCATTCATCGATACAACAGAGAAGCCTCCAATCAAACTAAGTGATAGGGGAGGAAACAGGGATTTGTACACGTGATCGCTGGTCTCAGAACTGATGAATTTAGACCTGGAAGGCATTTTCAGAATTGCTGTAGTCACCTCAGGCTGCCACCACAAAATACCACACACCGGGTGGCTTAAATAACAGAAATGTATTTTTTCATGGCACTGGAGGCTGCAGTCTGAGATCAGGGTGCTAGCAGAGGGCACAGCGGGTTCTGGCGAGGGCCTCTTCTGGGCTTCCTGCAGATGTGTCTTCACAATGGCAGAGAGACAGCCCTGGTGCCTCTCCCTACAGGGACTCTCATCCCATCACAAGGGCTCCACCCTCAGGACCTCACTGAGCCCACTCACCTCCTAAAGTCCTCATCTCCAATCACCATCCCTTTGGGAGTTAGGGCTTCAACGCAGGAATTTTAAGGAGACAATATCAGTCCATAGCAAAGATCATCTCCCAGCATTTATTGAGCACTTGCTGTGTACAGTATAGCACTGGTCATGGAGAGTGGCCATGGGGGTTTCCCTCAACTGTATGGAGGGCCAGACTTGCCTGCCAGAACTCACCACAAGAGGGAAGTGCTGCGTTCTTTCGCCTATCCACTGCGCTTCATGCTGGGAAGATACGCTTAACCTCCTAGGCTCTTTTTTTTTTTTTTTCTTGAGATAGAGTCTCACTCTGTCACCCACACTGGAGTGCAGTGGCACGATCTTGGCTCACTGCAACCTTTGCCTCCTGGGTTCCAGCAATTCTCCTACCTCAGTCTCCCAAGTAACTAGGACTACAGGCACCCGCCACTATGCCCGGCTAATTTTTGTATTTTTAGTAGACGGAGTTTCACCATATTGGTCAAGCTGGTCTCGAACTCCTGACCTTGTGATCCACCCACCTCAGCCTCCCGAAGTGCTGGGATTACAGGCATGAGCCACCACGCCCAGCCACCTCCTAGACTCTTATTCTCCCCTGACATGGAGAAGACTACCTCACCCAGCCTTGGGACTCGGATTCAGACAATAAGAAAGAGAAGGTGGGCATGCTAGGAGGGTCTGGCCCCCATTCTGGCTTTGTCCCCTCACCTCACCCTACAATCTACCCCTGCTGAAGCTCTATTTTATTTTTTTTAACTTAAGTACATTTACTTGGAGTTCTCAATCTCTGAGCAGCCAAAAGCAGAGTCAATATTTTTATAACCGAATGTATTTAAATCTCTGATGCATTCTTTTCAGATTAATAACTCAAATAACACTGAACGATTTTATTGAACAACTTTGTCACAGTGCCAAAATATGGTGTTCATAGATTTAGGAAGGCCAGTCTACAATGGACTTTTTTTAAAAATAAGCCTTTGGTTACCCAATAAGCCAAGAATCAAAGTACTGAGGTCTTTCTTCTGACCCAAAACTAAACAAAACAAATTAATACCACAGCAAAAGAGGATCACCAGAACATCATCAATAGGGCTGCCGATTATTCTGTACAATGAGCCATATTAGAAAACCCTGAAAATTTTGTAAAACCTTTGTAACTGTCTATATCTAGTGAAATAGAAGGAGGACAGTATCTTTAACCCCACATAAAACACCTTGGAAACAAAGATAAGCGCTTTCTCCCAAAGAACATCTTCTCCCAGATTATTCTGGAAGCTTGTGGCCCTACTGGTAGACCCCTAGACTCTAGGCTGCTTCAGTAAGGTATCCATGAAGAATTCGAGAGTGACAGGAATTCAGCATGCAAGCCACAGGCAAAGGGTTGGGGGAGGAAGAGGAAGGTTTTAAACAAGAGGCTGGGCATGATGACTCACCCCCATAATCCCACCACTTGGGAGGCTGAGGTCAGTGGATCACTTGAGCTCAGGAGTTCAAAATCAGCCTGGCCAACATGGCGAAACCCTGTCTCTACAAAAAATAGAAAAATTACCTGGGCGTGGAGGCACGCACCTGTAATCCAGCCACTTGGGAGACTGAGGCCCTAGAACCAAATATTTAATTAATTAATTAAAACAAGGGAGTATGATCATTCTAGAAACTGGCCTGCTGGATTTCAATTTAAATGAGGCATCCTAAACAAGGGGCAATGGAAGCAATATCCGGCGCTCAGATTTAACTGTGCTACATGAAGCCATCTTAACTCTACAAGGCTAGAGATTTTCTTCTTGACAAACAAGTTTAGCAATTCTTAAGATGAGAACCAAAGACTCCTTCAGTTGGCTGGCAAAGTCCTGCTGTTCCAGGTGACTTCTCCTGCCTCCTCTCGGCCATCAGGACATCCTGATTCCCTTTCAGTTGTATGGAGCTTTGTTTTGGTTTGTTTTTTGCTTTTTTGAGACAGGGTCTCACTCTGTCACCCAGGCTGGAGTGTGGCAGTGCCATCTTGGTTCACTGCAACCTCCACCTCCCAGGGTTAAACAATCCTCCTGCCTCAGCCTCCCAGGTGGCTGCGTACCAAGCCTCCCAAGTGACTACAGACATGCATACCACGCCCCATGAAATTCTGTATTTTTTGTAGAGATGGGTTTTTGCTATGTTATCCAGGCTGGTCTCAAACTCCTGAATTCCAAGGATCCACCTACCTCCATCTCCCAAAGTGCTGGGAATAGAGGCATGAGCCACTGCACACAGCCCTTGACCCTCCTGCTCTTTCCTGGCTTTGCTTTCTTCTTTCCCTCCCTGCTCAGCTAACTCTTCCTTACCTTTAATCCTCACTTCCTTATTAACTACTCATAACACCTTGCACTATACTGTATCACTTTAATTACTGGGATTGTATTTTTTAAATTCTTGGTAGAAACCTTGGAATATCACCTACCTTTCTCACTAGTCAGTAACTGCAGAAGGTCAGCAGGGACCATTTTCTGTATCTTTCATCATTCTGGACAGGGTGTGGTACTTAGAAGCCCAGTGGAGAGTTTTGAATGAACAAATGAGAAATGAAGCTGCCCATGTCTCCAAAAGTCAAATTATACTTCTTTGTGACTTGGATACATTTTCTTCCTTGAACACAAATGCTGGGTTTCAGTGGCCTGTCTTCCAGATGAAACTGTTGCACGAAAAATTTCAGAGTGTTAGGTAATTTTGCTTACGTACACTGCATTAAGACTTCAATTATTCCTCAGAAGATAGAGAATCTGGCGTATTCAGCGGAGGAAGAAGTAACGTCAAAAGTTTCACCCCTGCTGTTCATACAGAGGAGGCTGGTGGGTGATTACAGCCAGAGGGAGCTCCTCCGGAGCGCTGAGAAGCAGCTGTCCAGGGCACCAGCTCGACAAAGCTGCAAAGGCAGCCTTCTACCTTTCCACACCAGCGGGAGACCTTTGGTCACACCATGCGTTCTCTGTTCTTGCTCTTGAAATGGAATTTTTTAAAGTATTGCAGAATCAATAAAAGAGATGTTTTCAGAAATACTTTACTCCGACTGTGCAAGGGGCAAGAGTAAATGCATCCAAGAGCATCCCACCCGTGCTGGGAGGCAGAGGGTGGCTGCAAAATCAGCGTTTGAGCCTAATATTTCACTGAGAACGTTTTAATGTGGGGACCTTTGCTTAACAGAGTAAAAACTGTTATACTAACAAAGTGATCTGCCCTGGGTCGGGACAGTTGGGCTACCAGGGATGCTGACAGTGAATAATTCTTCTCCCCTTTTGGCCACTGCCTGTCCTTTGGGTATGGTATTTCTCAAAGGTTGTCCCAACTGGAACAGGGACAATAAGTTTCTATCCAAAGTCCAGCATAACTCCCCTAATGTGCCTCTCAGCTAGCAGAGATTCTGCCAGGAGCTAGTCCAGGAGGTGCTGCTGGTCTGCAGCACCTCGGCATGTCCAAGCCACCTTGCACAGGTGTGAAATGCAGAGACGCCATGTGGTGTCAGCCACAGAGACGTTCCACACACACCAAACCACTGCTGAGGCCATCCCCACTGGTTATTTTCCAGATGTGAGGAAACCAAGTCATCCATCATGAACCACTACGTCCTGCTGGGAAAATTTTGATAAGGAAGAACTTAAGAAAAGAAGCCATCTCTAGCTAAGTCCACAAGGATAGAATTTCCTGCCTCCCTCCAAAGACAAAGAAAAGCTTGCACACTCAGGCTGAGACCTGAGGCTCAGACTCCAGGAAAAGGAGAAAAGAAAACAAAAACATCAGCTGAGAAAGTTGTTTCTGTTCCTGGACCAAACTGCATGGTAGGAAGAGGGCGACTGTGCCTTTATGTGGCTGCTGCCTATATATCAAACAAGGCTCTGGGAACGGTCAGGAAAGTATCATTTTTAACACAATAGAGACGTCAGCAGCAGGGTGAATAGACACAGGCCAGTGGAGAAAGACGTGGAGTCTTCCAGCCATGACTTAGGGAGCACGTTGCTAACCAGGTCATGCCTGACGCCTCCATTCCCTGAGGCTCATGCTTATGATTGTGACTGCATCATAATTTGGGCCAATCATCTGACATGATGACCACCCCCCAACCCAGGCAGTATAAGAAGAATGAGAAGAAAGGGGGTGGGCCAGTCAATACACATCCTTCCCCAGCCAGACACTCAGTGCAGCATGGTGCAGAGGCAGAAGCTTGTGACCCTAGGGAGGCCAGTGCTGGGGTCCTCCACTCACTGCTGGATAATCTTAGCAAATCATCTCTTCTCTCCCAACCCAAGCGCTCATTTTTAAAAGATCACAATGCCCAATCTGAAGGTGGATGTGAGAATGAAATGAACGCATTCATGGCACACAGCAGGAGGCTAATAAATGCTTGCTTCCTTTCCCTCCTTGCGCGTTACAAGAACAGAAGACATTCCTTCACTCTCTCCAGGAATATACGCCATCGTTTCCAAGGTCAGACAATGGCTCCGTAAGCCGCAGAAGCTGTCTATGTCTCCCACCACTGTACCTTCGCACTTTTTGCAATGAAATTGTGAAAGGAAAACAAATCTTGAGACCCCCAAACCCACGAAGCCAAAGAGAAGAGTCAAGCTGGCAACTGGGTCATGCAAGCCTGCCTCCCATTTGGGTCCCTAAATAAGACGGCGATCAAGATGAAAAGCTACATACCTCCCTCATATTTTGCCCACAAGGAAACTCCTTGTGAGCCCCAAGTTCTTTACCCTAAAACATTTCTGTTAAAGTTTGACCTGCTAATGTCAATTAATAGTTTATCTTCACAGGTGCGGGGGACATAGGACAGAACTCAAAGTCATCTCTTTGCCCACCCGAAACAAATGCATATCTGATTGTTTCGTCTGCCCTATGGTCCATGTTATCTTATCTAGAAATGCAGATTCACCGAGCCAGACAAAGGCATGAATGAGTATTTACCCACCTCTCACATGAAAATTGCATATTTCTTAATATCCTGCCCTTTCCCCTGTAAATACTGAAGACCTCAAAATCAACTTAGGAGAAAGGCATAGACCTGTCTCCCAGGCACCCATTCTTAACTTAAGCAAATAAACCTCCTGAAATGATTGAGACTTGCCTTGGTCATTTTCCTTGATTGACAAAACTGTCCATGTCAATCATTTTCACAAGAACACAAGATTTTTACTACAAAGCAAGCCACAGAGAGGAGCAGGGAAAATTCATATTCTCCCTGCATACCAGCCTCAAGGGGCTGTGGGAAGGTCGGGGAAGCAGGCACCATCTTCTCTTGCCAAATACCAAGCACCTTCCCTCCACAAGAAGCATCTCTCCCCGTCTTCAAGCACACATAATAAAAAGCTTTAAAAAGTTCAGCTGTCTCCTAGCAATCTGTGACATGCTTCAAAACTTGGGAAGGAAGATGCTGACAGCGCGGAGCATGTGCGTACACTTCTTTTCAAACAATAACCCACAAATGAAAGAGGAAACTCAAATTCAACCAGAATAAAAAGCTCGATTGTTCTCCCGTCCGCCTGTCACCTACATCGAACAGCTGCGAAGGCAGAGGCACACACGACAGCTGTTTCTGCCAGAGGTGCTAATGCTAAGGCTTTTCACACAGGCTTTCCTTTTCTTTTTTGTTATTCTTTTCTTTTTTTGAGATGGAGTCTCACTCTGTCACCCAGGCTGGAGTGCAATGGCACAATCTCGGCTCACTGCAGCCTCCGCCTCCCAGGTTCAAGAGATTCTCCTGCTTCAGCCTCCCAAGCAGCTGGGATTACAGGTATGCACCACCATGCCCAGCTAATTTTTGTATTTTTAGTAGAGACAAGGGTTTTGTCATGTTGGCCAGACTGGTCTCAAACTCATGACCACCGGTGATCCGCCCACCTTGGCTTCCCAAAGTGCTGGGTTTACAGGCATGAGCCACCATGCCTGGCCCAGGCTTTTATTTTCATCAACATGAAACTGCGCTGCCAGGCTTTGTCCATCCTGTGACGCTGCCCACCACCATCAGTGTCTCCACAAGGCCCTCGCCAATGGCCCCATCGGGTCCAGTTTAGTATTCATTCCATTTCATTCATGTAATAGATTCAAGCTACCCCTCCCTACTGGGTCTGGCCCATTAGTAAAGAACATTTACAAAATCTATTTTTTTTTTTTTTTGAGCCAAGTTCCGACTCTTTTGCCTAGGCTGGAGTGCAGTGGAGCAATCTTGGCTCACTGCAGCCTTGACCTCTCCGGCTCAAGCAATCCTCTTGCCTCAGCCTCCCAAGTAGCTGGGACCACAGGCACACACCACCATGCCCAGTTTTGTTTGTTTGTTTTGTGTTTTGTTTGTGTTTGTGTATGTGTGTGTGGGTGTGGGTGTGTGGGTGTGTGTGTGTGGAGACAGGGGTCTCATTATGTTGCCTGGACGGCTCTCCAACTCTGGCTTCAAGCCATGCTCCTGCCTCGGCCTCCCAATGTGCTGGGATTACAGGCATGAGCCACCATGCCCAGCCAACAAAATATTTAAAATAGGCTATTTTGACTAAGACAAAATCAAAATTATCCCACTTCCTCCATATGTTAATCCATTTTAAAAAGTGAGGAAAATGTTCTTGTCTGTATTTTCTACTGTCTTCTAAAACAGCTGATCCTGCAAGTACTTTCCAAAGAAAGAGACACAGCAAACAGAAATGTCCAAAAACAAACAAAAAAGAAAACCTGAAAATCCAAATATGAGATATGCAAGAAGAGGGACCTCAATGTGTGTGACTCCTTAGGTTACCATACCTCAATTGCTTTGTCCATGCAGTTCCCTGGGGCTGGAATGCCCTTCCATGCCTTCTCAGCCCAGTCACCCCTACATTCTTCAGATGAAATGCCCTCCCATCCTCTCAGTTTCCCCAACGCAGAGATAAATAATGCATTACCATTTATTACTAACTTTATATATGCTTCTTCATAGCAGTAATTATGTTGTAATATAAAGGACGCTATTTTAGGAACCCTTCAATCTTCATTTGATAATTCTCGTACCTAGCTCAGAGCCTGTGAACCTAAGTGCAATATACACTTAACGAATGAATGGATGTGATAAGAGATCATCTCCACAGAAACTAGCCAAAGGAGACATTATTATTTAAACTTGAAGCATGTACCCCGGTATATGAAAAATTTTCCTACAGAAAGTAACAGTAATGGAGAAAGCTACTGCAAAACACAGACAAGTCAAATTGGTATTCTGTTTTAAAGAACTGATGTCTCTTTATTTTTCAAGTATAAAATGGGGATGATTAATTCTACTTGAAGCTCTGAGATTTGCAACCAAAAGAGCAAAAGTCCTCTTAGTCTGGTTAACAAAGTATAGTGTTTAAAACATGAATCAGGCCAGGCTCTGTGGCTCACGCCTGTAATCCCAGCACTTTGGGAAGCCAAGGCGGGCAGATCACGAGGTCAAGAGATCGAGACCATCCAGGCCAACATGGTGACACCCCGCTTCTACTAAAAAATACAAAAAAATTAGCTGGGCATGGTAGTGCGCACCTGTAGTTCTAGCTACTCGGGAGGCTGAGGCAGGAAAACTGCTTGAACCCAGGAGGTGGAGGTTGCAGTGAGCCGAAATCACGCCACTGCACACCAGCCTGGTGCCTGGTGACAGGGTGAGACTCTGTCTCAAAAAAAAACTAACAAACAAACAAAAAA